TTTTCTAGAAAAACATTTAGAATTTTCGTTTTTCTTTTTGGTATTCACTGCTGCAAATTTGTATAAATTTTATTTCTTTAAATAATTCTAATAATACTCGCCAAAAAATAAACACGTTTTAACCTCGAAGCTTTTTACGTTTGCAAAATAAACACGTTTTAACCTCGAAGCTTTTTACATTTGCAAAATAAACATGTTTTAACCTCGAAGCTTTTTACATTTGCAAAATCCCATAGTTTAAAATTAGACTAAAATCCGTTTTAACGAAATTTGGGATTCATCAGTGTAGCTAGCAAACCTTGTGACAATCAAAGAATTATTGGTAATCTTTTGCAAACTTTTTGATTAGTTTCTCAAATTTCTTAAATACTTAAGAAAACTTTTATATGTTCAATGTCAAATGTCAATAGTTTTTTCAAAAAGGTTTTCAATTTTCAAAAATCAGCAAACATATAAATTATTAAACTAATGACCCATTTAAAAGTATCAGGACTATCAATTGCTAAATTGCTTACAAAAGTGTAATGCACTGTAAATGCGTCGAATAAGATTTTCTATTTATTTATTTATTCCTCAACTAAGTTTTTCTTTTTTTGTTAAAACCTTTACATAAATGTCACCGAAAATGCTCTTATGTCAAATGTCCCCGTAAGTGCAACATATTTCGTCAACTAAGTTTTTTTTTTTTTAAATCTTTTTACAAAACTGTCCCCGATAATGCTTTTATATAAAATGTCCCTAAAAATCCATTAAAACAATGAAGTATAAATTATTATTCATTCGTCAATTAAATTTTTCTTTTTTTTTAATCTCCTTACATAAGTGTCCCCAATAATGCTCTTATATGAGATGTCCCCGTAAGTGCAACATATTTTGTCAATTGATTTTGAAATCACTGAAAATGCTCTAAAATTAAAATGTCCCCGTAAATGTCCATGTTTGTTAATAATTTTTTATTAGAGTTTTATGCCGATTTGAGTTTTAAAAAAATAAAACAAAAGAAAATGAAAGAAAATGGAAGATTTGGTAAAGAAAAACGAATTCTGAAATTTGGCTCTCAATTTTTTTGATAAAATTGACGAAGGCTCTTTTGCCAGCATCTACTTATACAAAATTCATTGTAAACCTGCCGCTTTAAAAGTTTTTAAGACAAGTTTAAGCTTCAAAAAAATGATACAATTGTCTATAAACCTCAAAAAGTTAAAGCATGTCAATGTTGTACGTTTTAAGGGCTATTGTTTAAGGCCGTCAGTTACTGGATTCGAGTATTGTTGTGTCAAGTTAAATGGAGACGTTTTACATAACTTGTCACAGCTTATTGCTGTTTTAAATAGCGATAATACTTTTGTATTTAATGAACAAGTGAATTAAATTTTTCAAGTTTTTAATGGATTAGCATATCTTCACCATGAAAACTTCTTATCTTGTGATTTAAAACTCTGCATTATGCTTGTTCACGGAAGTTCTGAAAAAGATTTAGTTGTTAAAGTAGCTGATTTTGATGAACTTTTGAGGTTGAAGCAAATATTTACATCAACTTCTAAATCTTTTTCTCAGTTTAGAGGTATGACATTAAGTTATATTGCTCGTGAACTGTGTCAGTGTTTTTTTTTTTCTTTTAATTACCTTTGTTGGTCTTTTAACCTTGTTCAAAAACCAACAAAGTGATGTTTACTCTTTTGAAATTTTTGTCCTTGAAATACTCTCTGATGCTTCTGCTTGGGATGATGTGCTTCCATTGCTAAATGATACAATGCTTTTGAATGCTCTTCTTCTTGGAAAAAGACCTAGCGTTGAAAAACTCAAAAAATTGTACACATTAAAAAGATGTAAACATATTTCTACAACTTTTTCTATAATTTTTTTTGTTATTAAATAAAAAAACAATATTATGAAAAATGTCTAAATTGCATAATTGTAGATAAAAAGTATTTTATTTGATAATGAAAATTTTATTTACAACTCAAAGAAAGATTTAAAATTATATCAGAAGAAAATCAAATAACGGAGGTAGCAAAAGTTTGTTTTCAGCCCTCCTCTCAATCTCACATTAAATGCTAGTTTATTTTGCACTTAAAATTCCAAAAGGCGTCCAATGCCTGAACCGAATTTATGAAAATGTTCTAGAACCGAATTGTCTGAAAACTGCTTAGAATAGATAAAAATATTATTAATATCTAGAATTGAATTTATTGAACGTAGAATGAGATGATCTAATATCATTAAAAGTTTAATGAAACGAAAAAAACTTTAAAAAACTTAATTACCTTTTAGAATCGAATAATTTAGCATTGAATTTTTTACAGTCGAATTTATACAATCGATTTTTTTACAATCGAACTTTATGTAATTTTAAAACTCAATTACTTTTCACAGCATAGAATTTTTTTACAATCGAATTTTTTTACAATTTTAGTTTTAATGCATTTGTGATACAGTCAAGGTTTAAAAAAGCGTGAGGCGTATTGAGGCGGTTTTCCTATATATGAGGCGAGGCGTAAGCCTCAATGCGCTTGAGGCGTACGCCTTAATTTGTTTGAGAAAAACTACTGTTGTTACGACTTTTGAAAAGTTCGACTGTCGACTAAATCAACTAATATATTTTCTAAAGTCGATCAAAGTCTACTAACACATATTTGAAACCGACTAAGCCGACAAAAAGTCGATTTAGTCAAAATATGTGAATAAAATGATTGAAATGATTCCAATTTAAATTTTTAATAAAGAATAATCAAGTAATTCAGGGCCGGGTACCACAATTTTTGGACTGGGGCTGTAAATATATGGGGTTTTCTTAAAAATTACCCATCGGGAGTAAGAGTATACAAAGGTTTCTTCTGGGCTAAAGATCCTCAGCCACACGGGTATAACCGCGAGTTTGGGGGCTAGACAGTTCCCCAAGCAGGGGATAGTATGTTCAATCAAGTTTACACTTTAATTATTGCAGAACCCTATTTAACTCGGAACGGGCCTGCATGCATGTTATACGGTTGTGCGAACGGCCCTGCATGCATATATTTTTGAAAATCTTTTTAGGCCTAATTATTTGACAGTTTATTTTCGTAAATGGTAAGATCGGAAAGTTTAAAACCGTTAACATTACTAACCGATAACTTATGAGCAAATTAGTTCTAGTTACCAAACATAGTCATCAAAAGGCATGAATGAAATTACTTTTTGTAAATCAAAATTTGCTTAAAGTAATATAAAATTACCGTAAGTTAATCTCAAGATACCACAGAAACCGGTAACAAAAAATTTTTTTTTAATTACTGAAATAGTCGAACCCCTAATTTAACTTCAAGAGAGTAAACATGAACTCATTGCTAGCTTAAGGGGAATGGGAAGCAACATCTTAATCTGGCAATAAAAAAATAGGCAGTACAAAATAATTATAACTATTATATTATTGTTATTAAATTAACCACTAAATTTAAAGATTTAATTAAATAAAATGATATTATTTAATAAATGTATTACCCGACTAAATTGGCCTTTAGTCGATTAGTAGAAAATCCAAAGTCCTTTAAATCGACTATTAGATTTTTTAAAGTCGACTATTTTCGACTTTCGATCAGTAAACTTTTAGTCGATTTAGTCGAAGTCGATTAAAACACTAAAAAAACGCTTTTTTTTTTTAAGGAAAAGATTAAAAACAATGAAAATAACTTGAAGTAAAACCATTCTTTCATTAGAAATTCAAAAAAAAATTAAAAGAAGTTCCAAACTTTTACAGATTCGAAATAAATATGGCCTAATCTCATAAGTCTTAACCCATCAATCATCGCTATTGTCACTAGAACTAGTGCTACTATTAGGATCCTCGAGAAAATCGTCCATAAAATTTAATTTAACCTCTTTTTCTTCACTTTTCTTCCTGGCATGTGGAAAATCCTCCTCATCGTCATCATTTGGATTTTTTCTATACCTAAACGAACTATATATGTTTGAGCTCAAGTTGAACCAAAACAATTTTACCAATTATTCAAATATAATATCAAGTAATATCTTATACCTTTTGTTTTTCTTTTTTCTCTTCTTCGTATGTTGAGATACTTCACCTTCTTTGACTTCAAAAGGGTCATCAAGAGCTATATTTGCATCAAGATCTTCATAGGCCTCTACCTCAGAATCTTGGAGCTCTGAGATCCATTCATCGCCAGAATCTACATCAACCAAACAATCTTCAATTGTTTTCTTTTTTAACTCCCTGTGTTTTAGTTTCAAATTGAACATAATCTAAACCAAATCATTGAGTTTCGCTTGCTTCAAGCTATTTCTTCTCATTGTATGCATCTGTTCATTAAAATATTAAAGCTCAGTAAGATGAAAATCGAAAAACATATAAAACCAAAATACTTTATATCATTACTTGATTGAAGGAGCTCCAACTCCGTTCACATCCAAAAGTACTACAAGTCAAGCTCAAGATTCTAATGGCAAATTTTGCAAGTTCAGGCGTTTGATCTCCAAAAGCTCTCCACCATTCCGCGGAAAATAATAATGTTATTTTACTAAATCGTTGAGATGTGAACCCATATCAGGTCCGTCCTCTAGTTTATCAAAAAAATAAAATATAAGATATTATTACGAACATACTAAAAATAGTAAAAACACACACTTGGACTTCTCTTCTTCCTCGTGCTTACTGCATTAACCCGTCCAAATAAACCTTGTGCATTTCGAAAAGAATCGATCTGCAAATCCACTTTCTCTCTTTCTTCTGAATCACCAAACAATCGCTCCATGCAAGATTAAATTCCCAATTTAATCTCATGATGAGAAGAGAATGATGGTTCATATTGGAAATGAGAGTTTAGAAAATATGCAACAGCGTGCAAATGCGTGTGAAGCTGACAATCCCACCGACTATCCACAATATCCCAAACAATCTGATACTTTGCAACATCATTATTTAGATTTTGAGCAATTTTTTCTCTAGCCCTGTTCATAGCTTTGTAAATAAATCCTATTGGTGGATACTTCTCGGAATCCACCATTCAAAGAACTATAACTAAGGGCTTTGTTGCGTTGAGCATATAAACAACACCAGGCCAAAACGACTTGCTTTTTAGAACTATGTTGCGCACATTTTTCCCCAATGATCGAGATGCATAAGAACTGGTTTTCCACTTTCTTGAAGTAAAAAAAGATTCAAGTTCATCCCTTGCTCCAAACAAGCTTTGAAAAGTAAGAAATGCAGTAACAAATCGAGTAACAGCAGGTTTCACTAAATCTCCACCGGTAAATTTTCTTACCATTGCTAACACCCATGCATAACCGTATATAAAATTTATTATTTTTTTTGCCTTGGTGAACACAGAAGTATGAAAAGGTAACTTGAAAATGTCCTCCAACATTAATTCAATGCAGTGTGCAGCACAAGGCGTCCAATACAAATTTTTCTTTTTCTCCATCAACATTCGCCCCGCTGTTTTATAAGCCGAGACATTGTCTGTTATCACTTGGATAATATTCTTTTCTCCAACTTCCTCAACGACTTCATCAAGTAATTTAAAAAGCAACTTTGCATCTTTTACTTGATCCGATGCATCAATGGACTTTAAAAAGTAAGTACCTTTTGGGTTATTAACTAAAAAATTTATTAATGTACGCCCATTTGTGTAAGTCCAACCGTCAGACATAATACTACAACCGGTCTCAATCCATGAAAGTTTCGCTTCATGGACAATGAATAAAATAGCATTTTTCTCTTCTTTTAGAATCCATGTTTGCAACTCATACATAGTTGGGGGTTTAAATCCCCTTCTGAATCCACATACATCCTTCATTATGACCCAATATAAAGGACTTGTTACTACATTGAACGGTATTGAATTTTCATAGAAGAAACGTCCATAAGACCTGAAAATCCGTATTCTTTATTTTTTCTTCCAACTCTCATTCAAGATAACTTGGTGCGTTTGATAAACCGTGGAACATTCAGCACTCTCGCTACCAATATTTGCTTGTTGTATAAAAAAATCAATGGGTTCATAAACTTGTTTGTTGAACTTGAAAGCACTTGAGTCTGTTGGCTTTTTTAATTGCGGATCACCTTCAGTAGCAAATGGCTCTTGCATCCCCACTCGACAAATCTCATCTATTTCTTCTAATCCTGTTCATTTACCCTTGGTCTTCTTCAACATAAACGACTTCATTTCTTCTTGAACCTCAATGGAAACTCGCGAATAACCTGCAACGTTCTTATGAGTCTTTGCAAAATGCTCCTTTAGCCTTTTAATTCCGCTAGTGATCTTCTTCTTACAAAAGTTGCGCTCAACATATTTATAAGTTTTGCCTTCCTGTGACCTAAATGGAGGAAGTTCAATACAATATTTCCAGCTAGGATCAGTCCTCCCATTTAATTTGGATGACTTTGCCATATCTTTAAAGCTGTAATTTAATAAAATAGTAAAGAAAAAAAATTAAGATCAATCGTTGCGAGCCACAGTTGATTATACAATTCCATATAATGAATTGAATGATTAGTTAATACGGGCATGTGTATAAAATATAATTTAATTATACAATTTCAAAAAAAATAAGTTACATATATATTTATGAATTTTATTAAATCCACTACTATTATTCTAATACATTCATATTCTTAATAAAAGTAAAAATACGCCGACTAAACTATATTTTGTTCATAATAATATATCTATATAACAAAATATTATCAAAGACTAAAAACAAACTCTATAAATTAAAGTATTTTTAAAGTTTTATTTTAGCTTTCAATTAATCAACTTTTATAATGCTTTCCATATGAACGCACAAATTCAAATCGAGTGTAATTGAATCGCGTTTTTTTAAAAGGGCGAATTTGCTTAAGAATTGTTGAGCAAATTTGCCCTTTTTTAAAAAAAAATCAATTTAATTATGTTGTCTGTTTCGTAATTACTAACTCTAAACGCATTCCTAGAACTAAAAAAATTGCTTTAAAACGTTAGAAGCAAAATGCAATTTTAAAAAATGTTGTTGGAGCAAGACTAAAAGCTAGAGTCGATGGCCAAAGCGGAGCTCGATACAATACGATGAGCTACGAGCACCCCAAAAGCGAAGCTCGATGCAGCGCAGAAAACCAGAAGATGGTGCAGAAGACCAGACGGAGGGTTTCTTGCAGTGGAGGGTTTCGGGGGCCAGAATCGGACAATAATGCCCTTATTAAAGAAAATGAAGTTCACGTGTGACATACGTGGCCTTTTTAGGTTCATTGTAAATAAGGCGACGCCTCAGGAAAGCCTCAGCGCCTCATCGAACCAATAAAAGCGAACGTTTTATTATTTGAATGAGGTTTACGTCTTAGTGCAAAAATCCAACGCCTCGCACTAAGGCGTACACCTCACTGCCATGGGGCGTACTTTTTTAAACCATGGATGCAGTTGAAAGATGGCATAATTTTTTCAAACTAGTTTTTGTGTTAAAGGTTTAAGTGTACATGATCCTGCAAAAAAAGGTTTTTATTATTTTTGAAAATAATATATTTATTTGTTGCATGTAGTTTTATGTAAACATAAAAAATCCAACGAATGCATGTGAAAATATTTATAACTTTGCTTCACTGTCCAGTATGCAAAGGATCAACAGCAGATTTAATAAATGTGTTTATTTAATGTTTTATTTAATGTATTATTTAATGTATTATTTAATATATTATTTAATGTATTATTTAATGTATTATTTAATGTATTATTTAATGTATTATTTAATGTATTATTAAATGTATTATTTAATGTACTATTTATTAGACTATAGCATATATCAAAATTTTAATTCATTTGACTGGTTCGATTCTAGAAAATTCGTTTCTAGATGGTTCTAGATATTCGATTGAAACAAGTTTTAATAACTTAATTAAAAAAATTCAATCCTAAAAAATTCGACTGTAAATGATTCTATCTTAACAAAGAAAGTCCGAATTCGATTCTAAATAGCTTCGATCAATAAAAAAATTCGATTGTCTAATTATATTCTATTTAAATTTGGTTCTGACATAGGACACGTTCTACCTAAAGTAGCTGTCCAAACAGAACTGCATAAATACCCTAAACGTTTGAAAAAAGATTAAAGATGTTTCAATAAACTATGTAGAAAAGATTTATCCTCCTGTTTTTGAAAAACTTAAACAAAGATATAGGAAAGATAAGTTTTCAATTATTCTTTATTTAAATTTCAATAATTAAACTCCTTTTTGACTTGTTACCTACTTATATTCAATACATGTATAATTCACTCCTATGCATAAAAAAAGTTTATGACGTTAATTAAATATTTAATTATAAGTTGAAATTTTTAAAAGTTTTTTTATAAAACATAAATAGGATTTGGAGTCTTTACAATATTGCACCGAAAATAAGGTGAGTTTCTGTTAGAATATCGTGGTAAAAAAATGACTGCTCAAGAAGGGAAGTTACGGAGAAAAAACCATAAAAATCTTGGAAATGACTGCACAGCAAAATCTAAAATTCTTGTTTTAAGCAAAAAAAGTCTTAAAACAAGAAAAAATAAGAATTGTTTTTTCTTGTTTTAAAAACTTTTTTTCTTAAATATTTTTATATAAATATATATATATATATATATATATATATATATATATATATATATATATATATATATATATATATATATATATATATATATATATATATAATACATATATATATATATATATATATATATATATATATATATATATATATAAAATATATATATATATATATATATATATATATATATATATATATATATATATATATATATATATAAATATATATATATATATATATATATATATATATATATATATATATATATATATATATATATATATATATATATATATATATATATAAGTGTTTTCAAAAAATCATACAAAATTACAGCTTTTTCTAAAACAATATGTCCAGTTTTGGTCTTTTGAAAGTAATAAACTTAAAACACATTCCTTATTTAATTATTAATTGATTTCAATACATTATTGTACCTAACTCTAACCCTAACCAAACAAAAACATAAAAATGCCTGAGGTTGGCAATTTTTTGCTGACCTCGTTTTTATCTTTTATAGGAAAACCTTTGTAAAAATGGCTTCATGTTTGCCGATTGTAATCTGATGCCGACCTAAAACAGTTTAAAGTCAAAAATTTATTACTCACTTTAATTTTACTAATTTTGAGGGTTGTGTATGCATGCATACTTACCTGTATTTGGGTGGCAGTGGGCAAGGAGTTGCCAACTTGTGTATTCCATAATGCAAAAGTGTATCAATGTCTTCATTCTTGCTGAGTCAACTATGACAGAAGACTTTAATACATGAGCTATGTCGCCAACAATAACCCTTTAGAGGACATGGTAGTTTTGAAAATACCTTCTCACTTAAAAAAGGATTTGTGATTTTGAAACACTATTACATTTTATCCAATAAATATATGAAATCACTAATGAAAAAAAAAATCTTACTAATAGTGCATTAGGGAAACATTTCTCTAAAAATGCTACAACTCATCTAATACTATCAACTCTTTCAACTGGAAATTTAGTTACCTAGGTTAATAAATTAAAATTCTAAACTCAATTAAAATAAGGATAAAAAATGTAAAAAATAAAATTAATTAATAATACTAAATTTACTTATTAAAAAGTATTGTTTTCTTTACTTACTTTACTTTGCATTTATTTGGAAACTTGTAATTACTTAAAAAAACACACACATATATGTCATATATGTGTATGTATGCAACATACACATGGATATTTATAAATAGCACTAATACTAACTAATAGTAATAGCAATAACAATATTAAAACAATTATAACAAGATAAGTAAAGTTAACAATTATATTTATATTAATATAATAATAAAAAAAATAATAGTAATAATAATATTGATAAATATTTAATTTAATATTAAACAATAACAATAAGTAATAGTGATATGAATAGAAGTAAAATAATGTTGATATTTATATTACATATAATCATACCAAAAGCAATAATAATAACCCACAAAGAGCGTAACATTTTACGAACAGTAATTACATTTCTCCAAAATAAAAAAACATAAAGATGAGTTTTAGTAGTGATATAAAGTAAATATGAAAAATAAATTACTCTATGAATAAAAAAATGATAAATTATTTCATAATTTTATGCATTGGTTTGTGATGTGATTTGTTATGTTGTACTTAACTGAACAATGATTTAGAATATATAATTTAAGGTTGCTAAATGATGGAAGATAATGTTGAGATTTTTTTATAGAAGTAAAGAAATTACAGATTGGAAGAGGCAGGGTAACTTGTGTGTGATTTCAGACAAATAAACAATTTAATAGATGAACAAGAGCACACAATTTGATTTTAAATAGAAAGAAAAGAATATTAGAATTAGAGTAATATTCTTGAAAGTAAATTAATTTAAATATCTTGTTTTTAGATTAGATATTCATAAAAAATTATTGGTTCATAAATTTTAAGTATATATAATATATCATATTAGATCGTTTGTAGCATGTTTGAGAAATAAAATTTATGTTAAAAGAGATTTGCTTTTTACTATTACAATCTATTTGACTTTAGAAAAATATATCGCTGGTTTAATACAATTTTATTGATGTTATTTCATTTATGAAAAAATTAGGTGCTAGGTTTGAATACTACAAATAACTTTTGGTCCAAATACTCCATTCATCACAAATTTTTACAAAACCAAAATTAAAAAAAAGTTGCTATATAAAAAAGATTATGTAGCTAAGATTTTTTTCTGAGATTTTAAAATGGCTGCGGAT